CATCATCCTCTGTCTTTCCTTATCACAAGGGCAGGTACAGTGTATTGACTTAGTATGTGGACTCTGGGGCTGGAATACCTGAGTTCAAATCCAGGCTCCACCACTTATCTGAGGAACCTCAGATAAGTTACTCAACTCCTCTGAGCCTTGATTTTATCATCTATTAAGTGAAGGTAATAATAATAGTGCACACTTTTCCAGAGTAGTTATGAGGATTAAGTGAGTTAATATGTGAAAGGCACTTAGCACAGAGGAAACCCCCATAAATGATGGCCATTATTATGATGTTGCCCCGGACCAGTGAGGTCTTCCTAATCTGGGCTCTGGGAGCCACCTTTTCCTCTCCAGATGAGGAAAACTAAGTCCAGAGCAGGCATGACTTGTCCAGCTAAGGTCTATGGCCAGTTAGTGACCAGAACTAGAGTAGAACCCAGGTCCCCTCACCAGGTCTGATATATCTCTGAGGTCACCTTGAAAAAAGTGAATTTGTCCAGTGGCTGGGGGTCAGGCACAGATCCGTTGGCAGGTGTCCTGGTGCCTGGGGAGCAGCACTCTCGTGGGGCACAATGACCAACTTGGGGCCACAAACAACCAGGAAGTCTGGCCTGCTCTCCTTTCTCTTTCCTCCAACCCCAGAAGAAATGAAAACAAGAGTAGGTTGCAGCCCGGGCGTGGGAGTCCCCCAGGGCGAGGGAGTGCCCCAGGGCGTGGGAGTAGGTGTGCAGCGGCAGCAGTTGGCAGTTTTTCCTCCTCTGCCTTTGGTCCAGCCACAGAACACCTGCCGAGCCTCCTGGGTCCTGCTGCTCATGACACTGCCCATGGCCCCCTGGGCGCAGAGCCTGCACGTCCTGCCCTTCCAGTCACCAATCACCAGAGACGCAGGGCTGCAATAACGCCCCAACCCTCTGACTTGTTTTTGCTGCTGTGGTTTGGGGGCTATCTCCCATTTCCTAAGCAGATATCGCCTTGGCGAGGGCCGTTGGATCAGGCGGGATTGCATTCAGCAGCCAGAAGCAGACCCACATCACTGTGGCGGCTGTCTGATTTCACGCAGCAGGAAACCAGACTGTCCCAGGCAGGCTCCTTCGCTCTTCCTCTCCACCAACCTTCACACAGGACTCTCATCCTTATGAATGCCTCCTGATCACAGGCTCCAGGCAGGAAGAAGAGAAAAGAAATGACCAAAGGAAGGGGCGGGTCTACACAAGAAAATCAAACTTTCCCACAGACCCTCTAGCAGCTCCTTGCAGATGCCTCATTGGTCAGAGCGGTGTCACACAGCTGCTTCTAGCTGCAAGGGAGGCCAGGAAATGTCCTATTGTGTCCAGGCAACAAATTGTGGTTTTACTAATAAGGAAGGAGTGAACTGACACTGCGTAAGCAGCATTATGTGTCAGGGAAGTGTAACGAGAATAAAATCAAGTCTTTGCTTCTCTTCCAAAGCCTGCTGCAGTAGGGCCACATTGGAAGGAAGCATTGGTCCAGCTCCAGAAGCCTGACGTCTGTGCAGGTCTTCGCAGAGACCCTGGCACACATGTGCAGTGCATCGCCCAGCACACAGCACCCAGCTGACCGTTTTTTACAAGCCTCTATACTTTCCTCTGCCTCCTCTCAACAGCTGCTCCAATCTCCCTCGCTTGAAAAGCAAAATAAAACAGACAAAGCAGAAAGAGACCACCCCACTGCCTGAGCCACTCCTCCCTACACCCTCTCGCCTTTTGACTCCTCTTCTGTTTCCATATTTTCCCTCCTCCTGCTCCATGCCCTTTCTTGTGAAAATCGATTTGGTCTCTGGGCTTTTATGAGCCTGGGCCTCCACCTATCACACCCATAAGCACAACAGAGGCTGCAAACAAAGGATCAGGGAGATTAGTTAAGGCCCGAGGATTAGACTTTGATATTTCCCCTCTACCCAGGTTGTGAGCGAGCCAGTGTAAGTCCAGCACAGCGTGTTCAACACCTGCAGGGCCTGTCGGGGTCAGTCACCCCTCTCCCCAGCCACGGAGACCTGCCCTTCCCTCCCCCCGCGGCCTCCTGCTCTCCTTGCTCTCAGTTTTAGTCTGAGTTGTCCCTCCCCTCTTTGATACCCATCCTAGTACCTTCAGCCACATGCTTTCCATCTGCTCTTTCCAAGGCCCACTTAAGACCAAGTCTCTGAGCAGGCTCTTTCAGCTAACTTCGCTTGGCTCCAAGCCAGCCTGTCCACCATGCTCCTCTGATAAGAAAGCCCCTGGTTTATGTTATTTTTATTTGACTTGGTATTCAACTTTTGCATCACATGTCTGTTTTCTTCATAACTGTTCTGTCTCCACCGTTAGGCTGAGAGAAACCTGAGGGTAGGGGCAGGGTCTCCATCAACCGCTTGGGACAAGGTTACTCATTTTTTTTGTTTTTGCTTTTCAGCTGGTATGTTTTGGGCACCTTCCATGTGTCAGACTCTGAGGTAGGTGCCAAGGATATAAGGCAGACCCAGTCCCTGGCCTCCCACAGGACCTGCCTCTCGTGGCCCTGTTCTTGCCCCAGGACAGCACTCTGTCTATCGGGACGAGTGACCACTGTGTTGATGAAGATGAGGAAGGGATTGGGATTCAACCCCCACACTGAGCCCCATCTCTATGTTCCTGGACTCCAAGTTCATACCACTTCAGTGGCTGCTGTGAAAAATTCCCGGGCCTCCTCCCGGTGCCCCAGCATCTGAGGTTACTGTTGGCTGGACCTGCCCGCGGGGCCGCCAGGGCCCAAAGGAGTTGTTATTCCAAATGAGGGCAGTCAGCTGAATTTCCAAATCAAAGATTTTTCCACTTCAATTTTTCTCCTTTCCTCTTTTGTCTAAATTTGTTCATTTCATGGGAAAGGGATGGGGCAGTTCTCCTTCTAAGGGTTAAAGACTTTATGAGGAATGCCTGGGGGGATGGGCAGGGCTCAGGCAAAACCCTTCTCCTGTTAGGAGGGAAAGAGGAGGAAGTCAGTGGGAGGGATGATGAAAAGCCGAGCTTTTTCTCCTCCCTCCCCTGCTCTCCAATCCACTCCTGCATGCGTCTCTTTCCCTTCTTTTATCCTCCTCTCATCCTCTCCTCTACCTTTCTGTTCCCTCCTCCCCCTCTCCTTCCTCTTCATTCATTCATTCGCGCATGCATTCTTTCAGCAGGCATTGCTTTAGCAGCTACTATGTGTCAGACCCTGTGCTGCAAGCTAAGAACACAGGGACACTCAATGAAGGCTCAAGGCTCTCACAGTCCAGGGCTCGTGGAGGGTGGGCACTCAGATGGCAGGCCAGGGTGAGGAGTGACAGTTGGCAAAGAGAGTTAACTGGTAAGTCTCCAAAACCATTCAGAGGCCCAGGCAGTACATCTAAAGCATGGGAAACTCCGGGATTGAGGAGACAAGGCTTAGAGAACTTCTGCTGGGTGTCTGGTGCAGCCTGGCTCATAACCCTCTCCTGTCCTACCCTGGGGGAGGCATCTCAGTGGGAAGGGCATGGACTATGTGAGCAGGCTGCCCCTGTTCAAACCCCAGGTCTACCAATTTCCGTATGATCATAAACAGGCCCCTAATATTTTTATGACTATTATTAATTTATTTTAAAAACTTTATTTTTTAGAGCAGTTTTAGATTCACAGTAAAATTGAGCAAGAAGTGCAGAGTTCCGCTGTACCCTGCCCCAACACGTGCACAGGCGCCGCACTGTCATCCATCACATCCGTACGCACAGTATCCCCCACCAGATGGTACATCTGTTCCATCAGTGAACCTACGCTGACACATTATACCCAAAGTCCACCTTCGGGTTCTCTCTGGGTGGTGCCTGTTCTGCAGGTTCTGATGAAGGTATGATGACACGTGTCCACCATCACAGTATCATGCAGAATAGCTTCACTGTTCTAAAAATCCATGGGCTCCACCTTCATTTAATCTTTTTATCCTCAGTTTCTTCTTCTTTGAAATGGGGGAAATACCAGCTCGTGGGGTGATCATGAGGATACAACGAGGTCATCACGTACACGGGTGCTTTGCCTTAGGTGTGCGTTATTGTTGGACTATCTCATGAAAGGCCAAGAGCCCCCCACAGTGGCCCCTGATTGTAGCACAGGCTATCGGAGGACTGGGAGAGCCAGGTGCGGGGGGTGAGCTTTCTCCAGAGCAGCAAGGAGACGTTGCCTCATCAGGTTTGGTTGGTCGGCTACTTGGGAAGCAGCGGTGGAAGGAGGATAAGGAGGTCCACGGGATTCCAAAGGGACTCTGGACTGCCCCCTGCTCCTAAAGTAACCCATCCAACTTTATTGAGGCACCGCTCTGGCTGCTCTTGGCAGGGGCTCAGAGAGCCCAAGTGAGTCACTTCCACGTGGCCAATGTGGGGAGTGAAGGAGGGAGGGCTAAGGAGGGCCTATGCCTGGGCTGGGCCACGCTGGCTTGGAGAAGTTGTTCCTAAAATTCGCTGGCAGAAAGTGGGCTGCTGTGGGCTCTTAACCTGCCATGCAAATCGACAAGTAAACAGTCTCCAATGAGAATCCCAGATGCCCTGTTCATTCCAGAGACCCAGACACTCACTGTGGGCTCCAGGTGGGGGCCAGCTTGAGAGAGCCCTGTGCACAAGCCAAAGCAGGGCTGCGGTCTCCCCCACCGCCAGTATCCAGACAGTGATCTTGCCCAGGAGACCTCATTCTCCTCCTGCACCCAGACAGACAGTGACCACACAGGGAAAAGGAGCCCTGGCAGTACAGAGGGCACAAATGTATCACCCCTCATTCAGGGTGAAAAAAACTCATTCTGGGGTCTGCTTGGATGGTCTAGACAGAGCAAATTAATGGGTCACGGAGCTGGAGACATGGGTGGGTCATGTGGTAGGCTTGTATGGGTACCCACAGTCTCTGCCTCAGTAGGGTCTGTCACCAGGCAGGGACACAGCCAGGTTTGAGGGGATGCCACGCACTTGCTGTATATACGCTCGGAATTTATTGCGGTGAGGAGGGGTAGGGAAGGAGAGGATGGAATGCAGCACATCTGGTGACCTGATTTTTATTTTCCTGCTCTTGGTTAAGGGCCTTGGCTCTTCTTAGTGTTGGAGGAAGGAGTCAGAGAAATGGGGAAGGGGCACGAGAAGGAAAGATGGGAGCAGGGACCGCATGTTACTTGGCAGGGCTCAGATCCTGGGAAAGCCTCTACTCCTCAAGGTGTGGGAAGGGACTCAGTTTCCCTCTATGAAGACTCAGTGAGGAAGAAAAGTATGATCACATGAACATTTAGCAGCATCTCCAACAAAGATACAATGTGTAATAATATCCCTACACAAAAGCAGAAGAAGCACATGAACACCCACACCTTTAAGTATGGGTGCAAATGCAGCCAGCAACTATACAGACACGGAAACCTCCCCCTTCTTACACACATACTGCCACTGAGACACCACAGACGAGACCAGAGGTAGTCACACTCTTCTGAAGATCAAGGGAAATATGCCTTGAACCATCGTCGCTGCCTGGATTTTGCAAAGTCTAATGCCCATCTCAAGTTTTCTGCAGACTTCCAGAAGGCACTCCTGCTTCTGGTGAATCATTCAGTCCAGGGTCCTCTGGCCATTCTTCATGACTGTCCCTGTTCCACGGGCAGGGCATCCTCCATGCAGAGGAGAACATGGCAGAAACACTCGCAAGGCTTCTGTGATGTGGCAAACTTGGGAAGATTTGGAGAAATGAAGAAATTTACATTATAGCAATGCAAACAGCTTAGTTAAATAATAGACATTTCTGTTCCTATTTTTAACAATCCGTTGGTCATTTTTACAACTCAGGATCCAGACTCTCCATGTTATGCAGCAAACTTCTTACCCTTCTTCTCTGTTGTCTTCTTCTCAGGGGCAAAGCCCAAATTCCTCTCATTTTCTTAGATGGAGCAATTCAGCTCTCTCCCACCTCTGTCCCCAAACTTGGCTCCTGAACCCCCTTAGCATAGCCAAAAATTCACGGGAAAATCTGAAAATAGCCCCTGTGCCTTGCTAATTAAGGTTCTAAAACAGAGGCCATCTGCCTCCCCCATTTTCCTCTGCTGGGGGTAGTTTATATTTTTCTAGTTATACACAAATATGCAACTGCATACTGAGACACAGAAACACAGAACCATCTATCCATTTCCCCAAGTAGACAGAGAATGAACTTATCTATGCCATGCTCAGGCTGGTGAGCTGAACCTAAAACTGTGCCTCCCCCCACTTCCCATGTCCCACTTTTAGGGCTCCTGCCACCATGGACATATTAATTTAGAAAGCCAGCATCATTGAGATGCCAAGCACTATATGCCAAACACTCTCCCTGGGGTGAATGAAACAAAGCCCAGAACTCAAGGAGCTCAAGTCACAGGTGGAGTGGCAGGTAAGCAAACACATGATCAGGACATAAGGAGATTAAGCTGGAACCCAGGGGACATGCAATTTAGCCAGCTTGGGGGTGGAGGTGTGAGGAAGGTGTGCAGGATGAGTAAAAGCTCATCACTTAAAGAGGGGTTGTCACTGGGGGCCAAACCAAGCCATCATTCATCCTTCATTCATTCACTTTTTTGTGCTTGTGTGAGGAAGAGTGGCCCTGAGTTAACATCTGTGACCATCTTCCTCTATGTTGTATGTGGGACGCCACCACAGCATGGCTTGATGAGTGGTGCTAGGTCTGTGCCCAGGATCTGAAACTGTGAACCCCAGGCCACCAAAGCTGAGTATGCAAACTCAACCGCTGTGCCACCAGGCAGGCCCCTCATTGACTATTTTTTAGTTCTATGCTAAGCAATGACTAAGACAGACAGACTACTTGGTAATAAAAACTGTAGGCTTTAACAAATATGTGAGTGTTCTGGAAGGGGAAGCTGAGTCAGGTAAACCTCTCTAAAGAGGTGACACTTAGGCTGAGGCCCAAAAGAAGAATAAAAGTTAACTAGATGAAAGAGAGTGGGCACACATTCAGGAGGAGGAAGGGACATGTTTGAACCTAAAAGCAAGAAAGAGTTTGATGCTTGTGAGAAATACTTAGCAGTCCAGCATCGTTGATGCTGAGAACTGCAGAGGAGAGTGGCATGAGATGAGGCTGGGGAAGTAGGCAGGATCCAGACATATTAAGGAATTCCTCCAACGCACGCACTTCCTCCTGAGACAGTAGAGTGCAGAGTTAGGGGAACTTTAAGAAAGAAGAGCCTGGACTTGGACTCTCTGAGTAGGATTCAACCCTATGAGATTAAAGAGCTTTGGGGAGAAAGCGGATCTGACCAGCATGTGGCTGAGTCTGGGAGTCCCTCTGCATCCAGTGACCTTGGCCTGGGAGATATGGTCTAGAAAAAGTACAAGTGTACACTGTAGCCCAGTGTCACATGCAGGTGTGGGATTCTCCTCCCTTAGAGACGCCCCTGCACAGCCGGTGCAAGGATTTGGATCAACAAGGATGCCAGGCAGCATCAGACAGGGATGTATCAGTCGAATGTGACCAGCTTACAAACGAGACACCATGCAACAATGGTGGCACAAAGGGAGGCCCTGATGGTAGCCTGGCATATCCTCAAACTCTCCCTTCTCTTGGCATCTGAAGGCAGATTGACTCCTTGAACTGAGCAGCCACTGTGATCCTTAGGCCCAAAAGGGATATAGATTGGAGACCAAGTGGTGAGTGTGAATAATAATAAGAGGCAGGTCCTTATTTTTATTCCAAGCTAGTGAACTTGGTCATATAAGTTACACTAACCTAAAGGATGGGAAACCATCAAAAGCATTTAGGCAAGAAAATGTCAATATCAGAGATATGTTTTAAAACATTACTTTGAACACTGTGTGAGGAAGGGATTAAAGGCGAGAAAGAGAGCAAAGCCAGAGAGATGAATTAGGAGGTTATGTTAGTTAGAAATGCTTTCAGCTTCAAGTAAGAGAATACCCAAATACCTTAAACCCTGTAGCAACATTTATGGTTTACCAACAGGAAATCGGGAAACAATGCCTCCTCAGGAACAGTTTGGGAGCTCTGTGATTTCATTAAAAACCCGAGCTTTCTCCATCCTTCTCCATCACCATCTTCCATGTGTTGGCTTTTTCTTCTCTCCTGTCGTCTCCTGGTTGCAAGATGGCTGCCTTAGCTTTCAGACACAATAATCTGATTCAAGGCAGGAGGAAGGGGGAAGGGACAGCGATAGCTACCATCTGTTCCATTTCTCTAGAAAGCAAAACTTTCCCAAAAGCCCATCACAGATGTCTTTTTACATCTCATTGGTCAGAACCAGGTCACATTGCCCCTCTAACTGCAAGGAAGGCTAGAAATTTGATCAGGCTTCTTCATTATGATTCAGTACCTGGAGCTGGACACATTGTTGCCTGGAGCAAAACTGGAGTTCTGATAGCCAGGTAAAAAGAGAAATGACTTTGGGGTAGGAAATCAACAGTGATGGTCACAGAGGCCAGGGAAGATGGCCCTGACTAAGATGCTGGCATTGGACACAGAGATATTTAAGAGGTGGAAGTTACAGAACTTGGTGATGGGATGTGAGGAATGAAGGAGGGGAAGGAGAAAAGGATGATTTCCAGGTTTGAGCTTGGGCAGCCAACAGATTGTGATGTCATCTACTACAACAGAAAATATGAAGAAGAAACACAGGTGTGAGGAAGATGAAAAGTCCACTTTTAAACATTGTGAGTTTGCAGTGTCTGCATATATTCACGTATTAACACCATGTATGCAGTTGGATATATTGCTCTGGAGCTCAGCAGAGAGGTCCAGGCTGTAGATATGGCCTTAGTCATTGGGAGCCAGGCAGTGGATGGGTTTATTAGACAGGATACTTTGGGTTGCACAGAAAGGAATATAAATTGAACAAGGTTAAGAAGAGAAAAAGAACATTTTTGGCTCACACAGCAGGAGCTGCATGGGATGGGGCTAAATTTTGGCCTAAGAGCATCTGGTACTCAAATTTGGAGGTTGACTTTTTCTCTTCCCCCCAGCTTCCACTTTTCTTTATCCTTTATAAGATCACAAACCACTCCTGGGTACATTATTTCATTGTATCCTCATGATTAGCCTTTGAAGCTGGTATATTATTGTCTCCATTTTAAATATGAAAGAGCAGTGGGCCAGCCCCGTGCCATAGGGGTTAAGTTTGTGCGCTCTGCTTCGGTGGCCCCAGGTTTGCAGGTTCAGATCCCAGGCATGGACCTACACACCACTCATCAAGACATGTTGTGGCAGCGTCCCACAAACAAAAATAGAGGGAGACCGGCACAGATGTTAGCCCAGCAACAATCTTCCTCAAACAAAAAGAGGAAGATTGGCAACAGATGTTAGCTCAGGGCCAATGTTCCTTGCCAAAAAAAAAAAAAGAGAGAGAGAGAGAGAGAGAAGGAAAGAAAAGCCTGAAAGATTAAGTGGCCTGTCTTCACTCAAGAGAGGCACAGAATTTGAATTTGGTCTGCAGGGGACATGAATCCCTGACTCTCGGAGCTCCTGGATCCCCAGCTATGCTCAGAAAGGGCCTTTCAGTGAAGCTTGAATTGTTTTCCTTGCTGTCACGTACACCAGCATGACTGATGACTGTCTTTCTCTTGCAGCAACTCACTGAAGGTCAGCAAGAACTGACCAACACAACTCAATATCCCAACGTTTTTCTACCAAGTCCCCTAGATTGCTGCCCTGATGTTGTTTAACGTTTTACCATGGGAACGCTTTGAGCACGTCTAAATACTGAATAAGATCCAGGAGAGTAGCAAAGATTGGAGATACAGGAAACAGAGGGCTGAAGGTGGCAGGGCATGGGCTCCATGTCACCAGTGGAAAGATGGACCTCCCACAGTCGCCTTCCATTGTAGCGGGAGGCAGGGGAAGGATGGGCAAGGTGCAGGGGGATTGTACATGTCTGCGTTGGCTCACTCCATTCCTTTTCAACCCCGTTCTACACTACCTTCCTCTGTTATAGAAGCTGGAAAGGAAAATGCTCAAATTTCCAGCATCCCTTGCAGCTTGGGGTGTCCATGGGATGAGTTCTAGTCAATGAGAATATCAGAAATCCCAGAGGAGGTCTTCCCTTCCTGAATAAAAGGGTAAAGCAGTGAGATTTTCCATTCTCTCATTTTTGTTTCCTCTTTTCTTCTTGCCTGAACATTGGTTTTGATGCCCAGAGATCCAGCAGTTATCTTGCAACCATGAGGAGAATGGCCACACACTAAGGAGGATGGAACAGGAAGGTAGAAAGAACCCGGTACCTTGATGCCCTTGAGCAGCTGCACCTGCCCTGGCGTGCCTACCCTCAGACTTCCTGTTGCATTGGAAGAAAGGAAGGGAGGGAGGGAGGAAGGAAGAAAACAACTGTCTCAGTTAAGCTATGGCCTGTAAGGGTTCTGTTACTCGTAAGCAGGAGCCTGGCTTGTGCACCCCCGGGGCCTGCGGGGCCTCCCTTCCTTCCCAGGTGCCCTCCCCTGACAGCTGTGGGTATCAGCCTCCTGTCGAAGTTTGGCACGAAAGCAGGTTTTGCGTTAGAAGTCTCAGAGGAGCCTCTTTTTGGGAAGGAGTAGTGAAGACAAGAGAGAACAGAGAGACACACGGAGTAGCAGAAGGAGCAGCTGGCTGGGGTTGATTGATCTGGTCCTGGCCCTCAGCCTGCCACTAACCAGCTCTGTGACCTCTCTGGGCCTCAGTCTACAGAACAAAGGATTTGAGCTGGAGCAGTGTTTCTCAACTTCATAACCATCAAAAAGAAGGACCTCGTATTTCTTTTAAGATTTTTCTCTGCCAGACTGCATTTATCAAATAATTCATATTTCCATGAGAATACTGTGTTGATACAATTCCGGCCAAAAGCAAAGAAAAATAACTTTTTAATTTAGCCTTGTTAGTCTTACCATAGGATGAAACTTCCATTAGTTCTTTGGAAAAATTGGAAATGTTTCTCGGGTCCACATGATTATCTTGAGGACTTGTTGTGCCCTAGGGCTTTCCTACAAGAGTGCTGGCCTAGGAGTTCACTGGGGTCCAGTTCTGCTTTCCGTGATGCCGGAGCCTGTGCCCCTTAGGAGCCAGTGGAGGTGCATTTTCCCTCCTGCCCCCAGGCCCAGTGCCAATTCCCAGTGCCAGGAGCTCGCTTCCCTCGTGAAAAACAAGCCTGTCGGAATGGCACCTTCCTGCTGACCTGAGGGCACCTCATTCACCCTCCTGCCTGCTATCCCTCCTCACAGGCCCTTTCCCCCATCCCACCTCCCCCCCATCCCAGGAGGGAGTTGTCTCACCTAAGCCTTCATCTCCATGAGCCTGCTCTGCGGCCTTCTGACCTGAGAGACCTGGAGACGCTTTCAGCCAGTCAGAGGAGGAAGCCTGGTCATCTCCCTCAGGCAGCTCCATCGCCTGGTGAAGAGGGAAGGGCAGAGGCTCCCAACCCAGCTGATAAATGCTGTCACAGAGGGTCCAATCTGCTGCTGGAGCCCTGAACGGTCAGCTCTGCTTGGAAGTGCGAAAGGTCAGAGAGAGGAGGGAAGATCTGAGTCAGGGCCTGAAGGATGAAGGGAGAAGCCTTTGAAGACCAGAGCCCCAGGAAGGTCAGCTGGGCTAGGAAGGGCAGGGCTTCATGCTGGTTAGCAACTCATTTGCCTGATAACTTTATTTAAGGCCTCTCTCCCTCCTTCTTCCATCCTCCCACCAATATTTATTGAGCATCTTTTTTGTGCCAGTACCATGTTAGGTGATAGAAATAAATTCATATTCATATTTCATATCACAGGGCGTGCACTGTCCTGAAGGAGCTCACAGATTAGTGGAGAGAGAAACATGGAGAACTTGTAGCCTCTGGTCCTGCATTAGGGGAAGCACCTTCAAGGAGACACACCCTAGACTCCAGAGCAGCAGCTGACAACCCCTGATGACACGAGGCAGCGTGCCACCAAACCACAGAGCAGCCTCAATAGGTCCTAGCCCCAGGCCCCTCTTATATCTGACGTTTGCCCCGTCTTGGTTGAAGAGCAGCCCTGAGTCTTCTGTCCGCTCTGGAAGCTGTGGAATTTTCCCGCCTGGAGGCTGGAGACTGGAGCAGGTGACCTCTTATGCTCCACGCATCTGTAGTGGGAGGAGGGCTCTGAGGAAGCCTCTGAGCCTGCCCTTCCGTTCAGGCGGCAGCGTGCAGGGCAGAGGGGGAGGAGCCTCCCGAGAACAGGCTACATCTGCTCTCCTAATCCTGCTCCTGAGGAGGCGTGACAGGACAGTCCCCCCTCAGGGCCTCGCTGCCCTGCCACAGTCCAGGCCTGGACAGAGGATGAGGACTGTGTGCATCACAAAGCAATCCTCAGAGGTGCTACAGTCCTGGGATATCCTGGAGGAGAGAGGCCAGTGCATTACACAAATATAAAGGGTTTATCTTTTTCTTCTTCTCTATCCTCTGTTTCAGCCCTTCTCCTGCCCCGCCCATGCTCTCCAAGCCAAACCAGCAAATTGGCAGAGAAAACTAACCAAGATCTATTTGAGGAATGGGAAACTTGGGAAAGAAGATGCTTCTAGAATTTCTTCCCCATGCTCTAGTCTGGGCAGGTTGCTCCCGGGAGGGTTGGGCTGTGGGTTGCCACTGTTAGAATCTAATAGGAGCTGCCTTCCTCTCGCTCCCGGCCCTGCCTAGTTATTTGCAAGCCTGCTTGTTAGGGAAATTCAATTCCCCCTGGAACCCACCACCTGGAAAAACACCTCGCAGCACACATAGTGAACAACGAGTGCATTAACGGGGGAGGAGGAGACGGTGGCAGGCACTGGACCAAGGCGCCATCAGTTCTGGAGGCTAGTGAAGTCTTCCAGCTGAACCGAAGCATGTTGTTGTGCCTGGCCGGGAGGACAGCCGCACTCGCCTGGCGTCTGAATGTGCCCCTCCACTCCCCGCTCTCCAGAGTCCGGGGGCACCGTGGAATGAATGCGCCATTGCTTCACCAGGCTTCCAGGTTTGGCTCTCTTTGCAGGCCTTTGCTAAGTGCCAGGGTCGCCTTCAAGTTCAGCTCCCTCCGTGAACAGAGCCCAGTAGGTGCTTGGAGAGCAGGGGGAGAAGGATGAGAACTCCCAGGATACACAGGCTCTGTCCGGGGAGCTCTCAGCCTGATGGAGACCCACCTGCCCTCAGGAAGTAAAGGCAGAGAGAGTCCCACAGGAGGGAGGCTCTGTATTGCACGCAGTCGAGCATGAACATCAAAGCCATCCCCGTCTGCTGTGAGGAGACCACCTCCAAGGTGAGGACAGGGACTTTGGACAGGGTCAGAGGAGCAGAAGAGTAGGGCAGAGCACAAACCCCCCAGGCAGTGTGGAAGAGGCTGCTCTGCCCAGCAGAGAAAACAGTATGTGGGAGGGAGGCTGGTAGACCCAGGGGCCCCTGTGGAAGCAAGAGAAGAAAGACGGCTTTATGCAGCTGCACCTCTCTGTCCCTCCGGCCCGCGTTCTTCTCTGGCCGAGATCAGGGAATGTGATCGAGTGGTTTGGAAAGAGGTGAGAACCTAACATAGTGGGGCCTTTGGAGTGAGATCTGAACTGTGGCCCGAGCCCTAGCCCTGTGTCACTGGCCAGCCCACTAAGTGACATTGAACAAGTCCCTCTGACCCTACGTCTCAAAACCCAAAGCCAGGGCTGGACTTGAGGGCAGGGAGCCAGGATGGCTGTGCCGGATCCGCCTCAGGTGAGGCAGCGTTAAGCTGTATCCCCAGCTCCAGCTCAGCCGCAACCCGGCCCTGCTCCACCTCCCAAGACCAGGCCGCTCCCCGGGGGGTGAGGGGGCAAAGGCACTCTCCGTGGATGCCTTGGGAGCCACAGAAATGAACCGAGCACGCATCACAGGACCTTCCCCTCATCAAAGGAAAAGGAAACCGACAGGCTGGCGCCACCGACTGCGTCTAACAAAATGAGATTTAACAGGGATAAATGTCCGGCCCTGAACTTGAGTTTAAAAATCCAAGGGCAGGAACATGGAATGATGGAAGCAGGGCTTCAAACTGGCTTGTATAGGAAAGCTTTTAGGATTTTAGGGGATGATAATCTTACTGTGACACAAGCTGCTGGCGGAAATGAACGTTCGCCCTTCGGATGTATGAATGGTAATGTTTACGGTGTGCTCAGCACAGTCCTCAAAACAACCTTGGGGTAGGAACCACTCTATTATCCCCATTTTGCAGAAGAGGAAATGGAGACAAGAGAGATTTAGGAAATTTACTCAAGAACTCATAGCTAGTCAGTGGTGGAGCCTGGATTAATCTGGATCCAGACCCTGAGCGCTCCAAGACGGAAGTGTGGGACTTAGGACAAGGAAGCAACAGTCATTCTCCACTCTGCGCTAGAAAGGACCTATTTTCAGAAGTCTTCCATTTTTTTCTATGACCATCACCCCAAGTCTTCAGTAGGGGTAAAATGAGCACATTCAAAACAGGGTGTTTAGGCACATTGAAGAAAGGAGCGTTTGGGAACATCACATTCTCCATCTTCTTCTACCCAGGGGCTCCAGCCACAGCCGGGGGCAGTCATCGCTGATACCACCCTCAAATCCATCCCCCCAGATCCACCTGTCACTGGCCCCTCGAGTCACAGCGAGCTTAACAACCCGAAATCCTAGCAGCTTTCCCACACGTGCCATTTCTAAGCCCGGCACTTCCTGTAAAACACACCTCAGCTGGACGCAGGTCTCTCCATCCATGGCACTTCTCCAATCTAAGGTTCCAGCACCTCTCCCTTGATCACTGCAGACCCTTCTAACTACCCTCTTCTCTACTTCCTCACCACCACGCCGCTGTCCACACCACAGCCACAGGGGGCTCTGACACCCAACATGGGACCGTGCCGCTGTGCCACTTAGAGCCCTTCCCTGTGTCACACTTTACGTGGAATGAGACCCCAGCTCCTAACCCTGGTCCGCCCTCACTCTGCAGCCTCCTCTCTCCCAGCTCCACTCACTGGGTCCAGCCACTCAGCTTTCTTCCGTTTTTGCTACATGCTCCGCCCCTTCTTGCCCCAAGGCTCTCGCACAGGCTGTTCCCTCTGTCAGAATGCTCTTCCCCCTCCAACCACTATTGCTGCTACTCCTCATCCTTCAGGTCTGGGGCTGAATGCCATTTCCTCGTGTAGGTGCTCATAGACTCCAGCCCCTGAGTGGATTTGCCCTGTTATTCTCTGGCATGATATCCCAGTCTTTTCTTCCTCTACAGTGGACCACACACTGCACTACATACACACTGAAATTATGTATTTATTTGTGCATTTACTGTAAATTCCATGAGCAGAGGGACCATTTTATTTTGTTCACACAGCAAACCCAAGGCTGAACACAGAGGCACATGATAAGTGTTCAGTCAATACTTGTTGAACAGGTGAACGGCCCGGAGGAGCAGGGCCAGGAAGCCATGGGCCATCCATGCCTGAGAGAAGGTTGGGAGCCGTGTGGTCCTAGATTTCAGGGCCGGGACTGCTTTGTTTAGCCAACACTCACACGGCACTGACTGTGGACCAGGCACTGCTCTCAGCGCTTTCTAAAGGGTAATCAATTCGTTCTCCTAACAGCCCCATCGTTACCACTGTTTTACAGGTGAGGAAACTAAGGCACAGAAAAGCTGAGTAACTTGCCCAAGGCTCCACGGTCATTAAGGGGTCGAGCCAGATTTTAAACCAGAGTCTGTACTCTCAGGCACCTCCATAAGAGACCAGGATGTGGAAGCTTCTGGGAGTCCTTCTCTGGATCCACAGAAGGCGTGCTCTCTAAGCAGGTAGTCCCATAGGCGGGGCCAACTCCAGAGGCCTGGGGAGCCAGCGCACTGGGAGAGAGTCCAGCATGGGCACAGCTGACTCTGGGACCCCTGGGGCCTCTCTCCCCACTACACCCCATCCAGGGCTGCTGGGGCGAAATGGATTCATGGAAATGAGGGTGCTGGCAATGTTGGAAGATGCTCCCTACACACAAGGCCGTAACTTCCCCAGACTGGCAGGGCTGGGACATCAGTGAGGTCTTCTAGTCAGAACGAAGGTCAGGGGACACAGCCAGGCAGGGAGATGGCTCCTGCTAAATGAGCCCATCACTTTCCTCCCGGCCCTGCCTGCCTGCTCTCCGTGCCTGACCTTTCCCCAACTCTCAGAGGGAGAGGGGAGAGAGGGAGGCTGAGGAGGAGCAGGGAGGCAGCCAGCACAAGAGAAGACAGGCTGCTCTTAAAATAACAACCCAAAATCCTCTCCTGATTTATGAGGTTTGGTCCAAGCTGGGAGCTTTTGGATCAAACGAAAACTCCTTGGCCCACCCTGCCGCGGCTCAGCACAGGGTTTGTTTTCCAGGCAGATTGCCTCGGCCTGCCCTGGAAATTTTTGGGCAAAGGGGCCAGTACAGCCCAGGGGCAGAGGTCCGGGGCAAGGAGAACCAGTGGGACCCGTTCTGTGGACTGGGCAGAGGCCCAGGGATTTCTGGCATTTTGTCAGAGGAGCCAGGAGGGCAGCCTCAAATCGTACTTCTCCCCATGCAGACAGCTGGGCGGGAAAGCCCGCAGGATCCAGCCTGCAGACCATTTCAGCTGCAGCGTTTCGCTAGCCCCAACCACTCAGGCTGCATGAGGCAGGAGCGGGGCTCACCACCAGAAGTAGGCGCCCAGTGTGACAGAGACAACTGGGTCCGGCGGACAGTTGGGGCGGGCTGTGTATGGGAAACATCTGTAGTTGCCCATCTAAAGACAAAGACAGAGATGGGAGGAGGGAGAGAAAGGGTGGGGGTAACTTCTGAAGCCCTGGGGAAGGATAAATTAGGACACTCACGAAAAAATAAACACAGAGAGTGGAAAAAGGAAGGAGGAAGAAAAAAAGAGCCTTTTGCATCCTCTTGAAGGGCAAAACAGAGAAGATGGCCTCATCCCTAAACCGCAGCAAGAAGTGTTGGGTTAGACCTGAGGAAGATGGGAGGCCCTACCTACTTTGTATCCACTGGCATGAGGCACAGCGCGAGATGCGTCCTTAGCAGTTTGGGGGAGGATGGGGTGCTCTGGAGGGGTGGGCAGGATGGGCCCTGGATAAATGCAGGGAAGAGGGCCTGAAGATCTCCAGAGGCCCTTCTAAGTAGACTACGTGATTTTCTAAGAGCCAGGGAAAAGACAGAGAAGAAAGAACCGGGAGGAAGCGGGACAGAACTGACCTTTATCCAGGGTCACTGGATCGGCACCGTGTTAGGGCCCTGCCCACGATGTTATCTCGCTTAGAATTCGATCACTGGCCCTGGGCAGGTCTCTCCTTCACAAGAGAATAATTCAAGAGCTGTCCAAGGCCAAAGGGCAATTAATTAAGCAGAATCAGAATTTGAACTCAGATCTGACACAGGCGCCCATGATCTTTCCCCAGGCTACTTCCTGGGGAGGCTCAGAGGAGGGAGCCAGCCAGGGACAGGGGAGAGAACGTGGACCTCCAACACCAAGGACAAACGTCTGCGTCTGCGAGAGATGACTTGTGACCCCGGACAAGTAATCTCTGTATCCTAGTCTCGGCTTCCCATCCTGAGGGTGAGGGCCCGCGCTGGCTGCTCTCAGAAGCCTTTTCCCCTCCAAGCATACAATGTTGAGTTGGGAACCTGCTTCCCTCCTATGCCGAGGCCTTCGTGTTCCTACGTTCTATTTTGGGCCTTCTCTCTAGGGGGTCCCCCTTCCTGCAGCCCGCTAAGGATTGAGGGCAGAGCCTGGAATTATGACAACACCTTCTCTAAGTGGATGTGATCAATTAATTAACCAATAAATAAACAATTATTTATTAACTCTACCACGTGCCTGGCTTGGTGCTTAACTGACCATACAAAGAATGAGACTTGATCTCCAGCCCCAAGGAGCTTACCTGCTAATGCGATGTCCACACCCATCAAGGACGTTTGCTGAATGTGAGCAGAAATTGCTAACGCGTTATGGAGAAGCTTTGTCAGCCATGCCCACAGCAGCCCAGCCCTTCCACTTCGGGACAAGGAAGAAAGATCTCTGTGAGCCGAGGTCGAGGGTGTTTGGGACCTCACGATCTGTGTTGACGGCTACACTCTGGCCCCTCGGATGCTGGCTGCCTCTGACATTGGAGCCCTCATTCCTGAGGTCACAGTTAGTCGTCTCTGACCTCAGTTGGCAGCCTCTGGGAGAAGCTAGTGCACCTTTAATATGGCCAGTGGACAGTGAGGAGTGTGAGCATGGGGCAAGCATGGAGCAGTGTGGCCACATGTAGAGAGGGCTGACGAACCTGGCTGCAGGGGGCAAACCATGGAGGTCTCATGTAGAGGAGGAGGGGATGAGAATGTTCACAGGCCTGGAGGAGAGGAGGCGGGTCTTGTTCCAGGGACTGCAAATAAGAACTTGAGTGACCTGGAGAGTAGAGGACCAGAGAGTTGTAGTAAGAGACAGCAGCGAAGCAGTGGGCAAAGCCAGCTCAGAAGGGACTTGGAAATGACGCTAGTGGGCCTGGCCTTTACCCTGAGAGTCACAGAGGAGCTCTTCCTCCTGCCCTTGTCCAGATTAGCCTTTCTGTGACCAGTCCTCTTTCCTGCCTTTCTTTATAAGGCTCCCAACTGCTTAAGACAAATCCCCTTCTGCTTGGCCTGGTCAAATCCTGCCCACCTTCTAAGACCCTGTTCAGATTCCCTTTCCTCCCGGAAGCCTTCTTGGGCCACCTCATTTCATTCATTCATTCATTCAAAAATGTGCCTTAAGTTCCTTTAGTGGGCCAGCCACCATGCTAGGCACTGGCCGTGAACAAGCAGATATGGTTCCTACCCTCATGCAGGATAGAGTGCAATGGCTTAGAAGCCTCAGAGATCTCTCCTCTTTTGAGCTCCTCGAGATGCCCGGCCAATGAGGCTGTCAAGGATCCCTCCATAAGCTCAGTCCCTTCCCTCCTGGACAGATAGTTCCTTGTGGCTGGCACAGTGCCAGGCACTTGGGGGTGCTCAGCCCATATTCTAAAGATGTCTGGCTTTCCCACAACACAAAACAAATGGAAAGTCCTCCTGGCTGACACCTGCCCCTTTCACTACTCCACCAATTCTAGCCCAGCTCCTCTGCAGAGAAGAGACATGGAAGCTCCAGCTGAACCTGGGGCCCCAGGACGCAGAAAGAGAACGGAGAAAGCAGCAACTGGTGGGGAGGAAATGCCTGGGCTGGGCTGGATGCCAGCCCCAGTGCCTCGGGCCAAGTCTCTGCGCTCTGGAATGTGACAAGGGCTTGCCAGGGCGTCTTGAAGAGGCTCCTCCCCAAGCCACTCCTCACCCTGGACAGAGCCACGCTGGCGGCTCCTCCTGGGCCCTCCTTGCAGTGCACTGGTGCCCCGCGGCGGACAGAAAGCAGGCCCTGATCTCATGCCCTCCACAGAGTGTGTGCCCCACTGATGGAGAGGCTGAGAAGCCCGCACGTCCGTGTGCTGCTTCCACACTTGGATGGGGGAGCCCTGGGCACGGCCCCTGTGCTTTCTCCACCCTGACCTCAGACAGCTGGCCTGGGCTTTCGGGTTTTTGCCTGACAGTGTGGCACTCTCAGTTCAGGTTAGGCTGACCCCCGCCCCAGTGTTGTCGTCCTCCAAACCGGGCACAGACCCACCCCCTGCTGGTGGGCATGTCCCAAAGCAATCTTAAGGACAGAAACTAGCTCTTCTGAGGTTAGTCTAAATGCCCACATATGGGGGCTGGGCCATGCTCTGTGATCCTCCCACCTTCGGGCGCAGGGGACATGGGGAGTGGTCATGCTGACAGACACCAACGCTTCTGCCCCCCTGCAGTTCACCATCTCCAGAGACCATCCTCTGCTCTGGGCACAGGATGAAGGGCAGAGTCAGAGGGGATGGCAACTGAGAACCATTGAGGCTGGCGGGGGAGGCGAGGTGGAAGGCTGGAGGAGGATGGAGTTCTCCTGGGGCTGAGAGCGTGCCCTGGAATGCTGCGTAATGTAGGAGCATCAAGTTTTAAATCTTAATTAATAACAGGCTGTGTGCAACTGCTGGAAAGAGACGGGTGTTAACCCTCCAGAAGCCACTGGATAGTCCTAATCCTATGGCTCATCTCTGGGCTCTGTGCTGGCCCCTCACCTCCCAGAGTGTGAGCCTCCTGAAGGGCCATTGCCACCGTCCTATCAAGGAGGCTGAGCGGAGCTAGCAAGAGAAATGCTACAAGGAAGTAGACAGGGCCAGGGAGCAGTAACCAGGTCTGGAAGACGTCCGGAGGAAACAGGGCTAGAGATAAGGAGGAAAGAGCAGGAGGGCAGCTGGAGAGATCGAGGTGTAAGGAAGAGTCAGATCAGCTGCGGGAAAATGAGCAGGGACTGAGTTTATCCGCCAGAGGGAAGGAACGCTGAGCACCCCTGAGATGTGAGTGCTGGGGGCTGCGTCCGGGGCTTTTAGACACGTTTCATTTAAGCCTCCTTGCAGCAAGGGCCTGACCTCTTTTACAGGAGACTGAAACTTATGTACGGAGTTTAAGTAACTCTCTTAGTCCTGTGGCTGGGGTGGTGCAGTGGGGCTTTGGATCCAGGCCTACCGGACTCCCAGTGGGCTCCCCATCACTCTCAGCAGTTCACCCGAGAAAGAAGGTGTGGCTGGATGGGAGCAGACAAGAGGGCTGGAACTCCAGAATCCTAAAAACTGAGGACTGAAATCCAGGGATCCGGCACTCTGACTCTGCTTCCAGGAGGAATTAGATTTCAGCCAGAGCAACGTCCCATCTTAATTAGGCAGCCAATTCATTTCGATGGGACGAACCAACCAACCTGCTTTCTTCCCTCTCTGCCTCTCTCCCTCCCTCTCTTCCTGCCTGCCTGCCTGCCTGCCTTCTTGTCTCCCTCCCTCCCTTCCTTTTTTCCTTCCTTCTTTCCCTCCTTTCCTCGCTCCTGACATGATTTATGGAGCAATTATCACCTGTCAGGTGTGGTATTAAGTCTGAGGAGCAAACATGAATAAAAACCAGCCCTTGCCTTTGCAAAAATCACAATGCCTTGGGGAATTCCAGGAAATAGAGGCAACTCTTTACACAAACACTCCTGCTCTCAGTACAGTCTTCTCCTCCCTGTCATGACTTTTGAGTTCCTCATCAGGTCCAGCAAACTGCTGCTTCCCGCTCCAGCCCCAGCTCCCTCTGCTTTGAGAGAGAGACAGAGGGTCAAGCTCCTGCCGGCCCCTCCTGTCCCTCAGCTGCTCCAGGGGCTACAGCCAGAGTGGTCAGTGACACCACAAACAAACAGGCCTCTGAAAGCCTTTGAGCTCCTCGCACACAGCTGGACACAGCTGGGGCAGCCCAAAGTCTCCAGGTCATAAGTCACGCTGACTTCCAAGCCCGGAAGTCAAATAACGGTTCCCTGGCTTCCAGCCTCTTCCCCTCACAACCACAGACCCAACTGTCTCCTACGCATGGAACCACTCACCACACCCCATTCCTCTCTGCTGTGAGGTCACAGTGCAACAGACAGCCGTCACCCACAGGGTCTACTCAAAGTGGCTGCCATCAAATAAACTCAGTCTGGCAACAAAAAAAAATTTCCAAATGACTTATTTGTGTGCATTCTTAAATACTGTGAAGAGCATGAAGTAGATCAGAATAATACTTCTTAAAATCCTGTTTTTCCTCTCCCATTTCTTTCTTTCTTTTTTTCTTTTGTAAGGAAGATTCACCCTGAGCTAACATCCATTGCCAATCTTCCTTTTTTTTTCTTTTTTTTGCTTTAGGAAGATTTGCCCTGAGCTAACATCTGTGCCAATCCTCCTCCACTTTGTATGTGGGACACCTCCACAGCATGGCTGAAGAGTGGAGTAGGTCCGTGCCCGGGATCCGAACCCCTGAACCCAGGCCACCAAAGCAGAGCATGCTGAACTTTAACCACTGAGCCACTGGGCCGGCCCCCTCTCCCATTTATTTCTCTGCATACCAAGTCTGATCTTGCACCTCTCCTTTCCAAAATTCCTACCTCCCAAACTCCTCTTCCAGCTCTAACCACACACTCCCTCTTCTTCTTCTCTCCCCTTTCCTCCTGATCTGGTAACACAAAAGCCCCAAATACGCAGTCTGGCAAGGTCAGACCCTCCCTTGAGAGAGGAGGGGAAGAGACGATGGGTAAAGCCCCCTTTCTGACGCAGGGGAGGGGCAAAGGCTGGACGCATCCGTGCACCAGTCACATTTCCCCCCACAGTAGCCGTCAGCGCAGACAGCCCTTCCTGACCTCACCAAGCCCCAGCGGGACAGAACGATTTCCAAAAAGAGCGACAAAGTGATCTAAATATTATGTTCCAATTCCAAGCGACAATGGGCTACCATTAGTCAATTATCCCAATTTTGAGTAGGGAAAATATGGTCACCATATGTCTGGCCCACCCTTCCTCTTAGCAGCCCTGGTATCTCCTGACTGTGTTAAATACTTTCTATATTGCAATAGACGGAATGTCCACGTCCCGCTAAAATTCATATGTTGAAATCTGAACCCCCAACATGATGGTGTTTGGACGTGAGGCATTTGGGAGGTGAGTAGGTTATGAGGGCAGAGCCCTGGTGCATGGGATTAGTGCCCTTATAACAGAGACCCAGGGAGCTCCCTTGCCCCTTCTGCAATGAGGACACAGTGAGAAGACAATGAACCAGGAAATGAGCTCTTACCAAACACCAAATCTGCCAGTAACTTGATCTTGGAGTTCTCAGCCTCCAGAAACGTGAGAAATAAATTTCTGTTGTTTCTAAGCACCCAGTCTGTGGTATTCTGTCACAGCAGCCCCAATGGACTGAAACACAGATTGCTGTTGATTCCATTAGCATCTGCTTGCTCACCTAGAGACTGTGGACTCCTTAAGGTCCCAGAAGGGGTTTCTTCTTATTCTATCCTAAGCCTCACACACGGGTCAACAATAGTTACCCACTGCTGCATCGTCTCAAATATTAGTGACTTAGAACAACAATAATCATTTATTACCTCTCACTGTTTCTAAGCATCAGGGATCTGGAAGAGGCTTGGCGGGTAATTCTGGCTCTCATAAAGCTGTGGTCAAATGTGAGCCAAGGCTGCAGTATCTGGAGGCTTGGTTGGGACTGGAGGATCCACTTCCTATCCACATGGCTGGCAAGTTGGTGCTGGCTGTTGCGGGGCGGGCTTGTTTCTTCCTCAAGCGTACCTTTCCATGGGGCCTGGGCTTCCTTGCAACGTGGTGGCTGGGTTCCAAAGGTGAGCATCTTGAGATAGTGAGAGCCAGACAGAAGTGAATCCTTTTGTATGACCTAAGCTTTGGAAGTCACAGGGTATCACTTCCGTTGTGCTCTATTGGTCAGGGCAATCCCCAGTCCCCCCAATTCAAGGGGGAGGAAACGTAGACCCCACTCTCTGTGGGAGGAGTTCCAGTCACGTTGTAGGAAGAGCTGGTGGGATGGGGTCAACACAGAGGCAGGGCCCCTGGAAAACAGGCTGCCACAGCATCTCTGGGCCTTGCCAACCCAGAACAAATGGTCACTGGTGAATTTGGTGTTCACTGGCACCCGGAACTGAAACTGCCATGTCACAGGGTGCCAGAGATAAAGAGGAAAATAAATTCGCAGCCCTAATTCTTTAACTCTTCCTGTATCCACACCCTTTGCCATGAAACCTTCAAGCACCTTCCCCGCCCTGACTTGCCCCAACCAGATGACTTCCCTCGGCCCACAGGTGTTAGCAGATGTAAGTTGAGCAGAGGCTTTAAAAGGTACTTGCACATTATTCCCGGGGCCACTGCACTTCTGCCTTTGACGTAAAAACAACCCTGGGCTAACCCGTTGGAGGAAACGAGATGCTCGAAAAGGAGCCGGTTTGCCTCAGTTGCCCCAGTGAAAGAGAGCCTCCCACTAACCTAGGAGCAAGTCCAGGGGGAGGAGAAGAACGGCCCAGCACCCTGCGAGTGTGTGAGCTGAAGGAATGCTACGGTTTTAAGCCTCTAAATTTGGGGGTTGGTCAGTTATGCTGCATTTTTGAGGCAATAAATAACTGATATAGCCCTGTGCTCATGCCATCACAGAAAGAATCTCACGAGCTGGGAGTCTGTGTTCCAGGTCTGGCTCAGTGTCTGTGGTAGACAGAATAATGGACCCCCCAAGACATCCAGGCCTAGTCCCCAGAACCTGTGAAGATGTGACCTTACCTGGCACAGGGACACTGCAGATGGGATTAAGTTAAGGATCTTGAGATGGAGAGATGATCCCGATTATCGAAGTGGGCCCAATGGAATCACAAGGGTCCTTGTGAGCAGGAGGCGAGAGGGCCAATGTCAGCGAGGAGGAGAGATGGTGTGATGACCGAGCAGAGGTTGGAGTGTGTGCTCTGAAGACGGAGCATGGGGCCACAGCTGTGGAGCACAGGCAGCCTCTAGAAGCCACAAGAGGCAAGGAACGGATTCTGCTCTGGAGCCGCCTGAAGCCACCAGCCCTGCTGACACCTTGATTTCCGCCTGTAAGACATTTCAGACTTCTGGTCTCCAGAACTGGAAGAGGAGAAATTTGTTTATTTAAGCAATAAACTTGTGGCAATTTGTTATGACAGCAATAGGAGACTAACAGTTTCTAACAACTATCCGACCTGGAAGCAGTCAGGTGCCACTCGGCTCATTTCCTCCTCTGGCAGGTGGGGGTGTGTGGTAGATAAAGATGGTCACAAATCTTCGCTGCTGCACCTTTTGAGACCTGAGTCGGTCTTAATGGCTTGCTTGCCTAGTACAATGTGGCAGAAGTGATGTTCTGGAACTTTCAAGTCGTGTAATAAGTAAGCTTGCAGCTTCCTCCCAGCTCCCTCAGAACATACTTAGGGATCCCAGCAGCCACCCCTGTTTGAAGCCAGGCCTGTCTCCTAGGCAGGTGGTTGGTCTTGCTCAATCTTTCACCAAAATATCTACCCCCTAGAGATTCCTGAACCACCCTCCCTCACTCCCCCCCACGGCAAGTCCCTTCAGACTCTTTGGGGAGGAATAAAACTTTGGGCAAGTTCCCGCTGACAGACTGGACAGGGAGCCCCACTTTCCACTGGGGCAGGGCTGGGCTCTCCTCCTCTTTCTTTCGTTTCTTCCATTGGCTTCTGGAGACAGGGCAGCCTCGGCAGCTCCCCATGGAGCTGTCATCTCAGGCTCCGTCCCCCCCTGCCATTTCCCTGGAAGACACTGGGTTGGGCCCGGGCTTTGGTGGGGCTGGACAGGGCAGGGAGCATGCCTCCACAGAAGGCCTGGGAGTCAGAGAGCTTGGAACTGGAGCTGGGACAAGGGAGGAGGAGGCAAGCTCCCCCCTTTCTTTAGAGGAAGCTGTTAGTGCATTCCATACCTCCCAACTCATTTACTCCAACTGCCCTTTGCCACAAGCTTTTTGCAGCCATGACCTCCAAGTCTGTATTTGCCGAACACGGGGACAGCATCACTGTCTTCTACAATGGAAACTTCAACCTCCCCTAAGATGCCATCTGCGGTTTTAAAATAGATTCTTCACTGCCCCTCTTTTCATGCACTAGTCTCGTTCTCTCCCAGCTTTAAAGTGATGCATTCCCCTAGGAAACGGCAGAGTCTAGCAGTTAAGACTGTAGCTCTGGAGTCAGATGGACCTGGTCTAAATCTCAACCTGCCTCTTAGCAGATGTACGGCCTTAGGTGAGCTCCTTCATCCTGTCAGACTGGGCTTTCTCTTCTGAAGGATGGAGCTAATAATTGTCCCTACCTCACAGGGCTGCTGGAGGAATTAAATAAGTCAGACCATATCACTGGCCTGGCACAGCAAGTGCTGGAAAACATCCGGTGTTGCTTAGACTCACACTGCGTGGTTAGCTCTGTCGTCACACGCTGACTTTCTCCTGGGCTCTTTATCTGGGAGACAAGAAGCTGGGGAGACGGGGAAACAGGGCTGGACAGCCTTGACCCAGGGCACTTCTGTTCTCCACTCCCACTCGGGGGCGGGAGGAGGGACACGACGCTAGTGAGTTCAGAAATGTTCCTAAATTTGATAAGAGACCCTGGGACAGAGGTTAGCTCGTCGTCTTCTCTGTTCTGCCCATTTCTCTGCTCTAGTGACAGAAACTGCTCTTCCAGCCTCAACCTCTTACCTCACAAGGCAGGAGAAAATTCTTCAAGGAAGGCTTAAAGAGAAAAGCTGCCTTTAAAGGAGTGGGGCACCATTTAAAGACTTGAGAGAGCAAAAATGTATGCCTGTGTGGGTGTGGGTGTGGGTGTGGGTGCATTTGAAAGTGGAAGACATTTGAAAAGTACAAAACTCTGTGATGGCATGAACCAAGCAAGCCGCCTGCCTCCGCACAGTCTCACCTGCCTCCACACGGTCTCACCTGCCTCCACACGGTCTCACCTGCCTCCACACAGTCTCACCTGCCTCCGCACAGTCTGAGCTGCCTCCACACCACCTCACCTGCCTCCACACGGTCTCACCTGCCTCCACACAGTCTGATCTGCCTCCACACGGTCTCACCTGCCTCCACACCACCTCACCTGCCTCCACACCACCTCACCTGCCTCCACACGGTCTCACCTGCCTCCACATGGTCTCACCTGCCTCCACACAGTCTGATCTGCCTGCACACGTCTCACCTGCCTCCACACGGTCTCACCTGCCTCCACACAGTCTCACCTGCCTCCACACAGTCTCACCTGCCTCCACACGGTCTCACCTGCCTCCACACCGTCTCACCTGCCTCCGCACGGTCTCACCTGCCTCCACATGGTCTCACCTGCCTCCACACGGTCTCACCTGCCTCCACACCACCTCACCTGCCTCCACACAGTCTGATCTGCCTCCACACGGTCTCACCTGCCTCCACATGGTCTCACCTGCCTCCACATGGTCTCACCTGCCTCCACACAGTCTGATCTGCCTCCACACCACCTCACCTGCCTCCACACCACCTCACCTGCCTCCACACCACCTCACCTGCCTCTGCATGGTCTCACCTGCCTCCACACAGTCTGACCTGACTCCTACCACCGAGGGCCAGTTATGTCCCCCATTTCCCCTAGGGACATGAGGCAGTACTGTTTGGTCCAGACGATCTAAAATTGCTCCTTGAGAGGCTGGTCCAGTGGTGTAGAGGTTAAATTCACGTGTTCTGCTTCGGCAGCCTGGGGTTCGTGGGTTCAGATCCTGGGCACAGACCTACACACAGCTCAACAAGCCATTCTGCGGCAGCATCCCACATACAAAGTAGAGGAAGATTGGCAACAGATGTTACCTGAGGGCCAGGCTTCCTCACAAAAGTAATTAATTAATTAATTAAAATGTTCCCTGATGTCTACAGAAATCCCCTCTCCTGTAGCCAGCCAAACCCCTTTCTCCTTTGAGATGTCAAGATAGTGAGCGGGCAATCAGGGGTCCCCCTGTTTCTCAGCAAGGAGTCTTTCCAAGTCCTGTTTGAAGCCCACCCCAGTGGGAGGCCCCTGTCAGCAGAAGGTTCCATGGCTCCACCTCACAAACGCCAGGGCGGGTACAGGGCGCTCCAGGACGCCCTTCAGAGGAGGGCGTGAGGCGGCTGCTCCAGACACCAGGGCGGCAGGGACGTTACATACCCAAAGGTCAGCGGAGCCTGCGTCTGGAGCCTCCTCTGGGCTCCTTCACCAGCAGCCACCAAAACACCGCGTTCGTGACCCATTACACCAGTGAGGTGGCGACAGCTAGGAAGTTGCAAAATATTTTCCATCCCCAGCCCCTGTTCTGGTAAATTCACTCTTCATTGCTAAATTCTTCCAGCTTTTCCATAGTTGCCTGAGATGAATGAATGACTAGATTCAAGAGGGTTTTTTTTTTCTGTGAAATATTTGGAAAATGACTGCTAGCACTACAATAACCCTCTTTTTCCTGTTTGGTTTTTTCTTTTTGAGGGAGTGGGGTTGGAATAATTTTTTCTTCTTCTTTTTTATTTAAAAAAAAATTTTTTTTAAAGATTGGCACCTGAGCTAACATCTGTTGCCAATCTTCTTTTTTTCCCTTCTTCTCCCCAAAATCCCCCAGTACATAGTTGTATATTTTAGTCGTGGGTCCGTCTAGTTGTGGCATGTGGGATGCCACTCAGCATGGCCTGATGAGTGGTGTCATGTCCGTGCCCAGGATCTGAACCAGCAAAACCCTGGGCCGCCGAAGCAGAGCACGTGAACTTAACCACTCAGCCACGGGGCCGGCCCCTCTTCTTTTAAAAGGCATCTAAAACCTCAGATTTGTAGTACAGTGACCACCTGTCTTATATTTTCTCAGAAAGTCCCAGTTTTTTAAAAGTCAATTTGTTAAATCTATACATAAGTATGATTTTAATTTTATAATCTTTGTTCACAAACTTATGTGTACAAGAAGTGTGACTTTCTCTTATTTTCTTTATTTTCTTTAATTTCTTTTTTTTTTAAAGATTGGCACCTGAGCTAACATCTGTTGCCAATCTTTTTTGTTCTTCCTCTTCTCCCCAAAGTCCCGCAGTACATAGTTGTATATTCTAGTTGTAGATCCTTGTGGTTGTGCTATGTGGGACGCCACCTCAGCATGGCCTGATGAGGGGTGCCATGTCTGCGTCCAGGATCCACATCGAAGTCGGTAAAACCCTGGGCCGCCGAAGTGGAGCGCGCCAACTTAACCACTCGGCCACGGGGCCGGCCCCATTTTCTTTAATTTCTATTTCAACTTTTCATTCAGTTGGGCTGGCAGAATCTTCAGGAACAACACCCTTCCCCAGGGGGTGTCTAGCGTTGGGGCAGAGCAGCCCAGATCTGGTTCTAATGCTGCCTGTGTGCAGAGGCCTCCTCTGAGACCTCTGCTGCCCTGGTCTCAGTGGGTGGCCTCTCAGGGTGTGGGTTAGCCCTTTGTCCCGCCCCGTGGTCCCTTAAGGGTGATGGCTCTCTGTTACTTCTCTGACTCTCCTGGATGATTCTGCAGCTCCACCCTGTGCTGGAGCAAACAGGAGATTCCATGTGGCCCTTACCTGCCTAGATGTTCCACGCAGTGTTTCTTGTCTGCAGCCTTGTTGCCTCCTGGAGCTGCCCCAGGATGGAAGGCCCGGATCCCCTGCTCTTGGATCCCTCCTATCTCCCTGGTATCTCACCCTCCCTGGGGCTCCGCCTGGTCACCGAGTGAAGAGATGGGTGCAGGGCCGGCTTCTCCAAAGCTCGTCAATGTCTATGTTCTCTTGTCCCCCGCAGTGCCGTCCATCTGGGTTTTAGGAAGTGTGACTCTGGACAGGGGCCAGGGAACCTTATATTTCTCTCCTAAATCTTTTGCCTAATCTAAGTTATCTTGTCAAGGGGGAGAGTGACTTTGCTCTGCTCATGCGACGCTGCCCCAGGGCAGTGAGCAGAGGACGGCCTGGCTTTGGAGGACGGGCAGAAGAGGAGGTAACAACAGGGGACAGAGGTAATAGTGCTCTGAGTTTTCCTGCCGGCCTGAAGACTCACAGCCTTTCCACACAGTGACCGCATGTCCAGTATTTTCTACAGCGGTCCCCATTCGAGCAAAGTTATT